GACTTCAATGCATGAGCACACTCTGGTCATCTGCTACAGGAAACGGGAATGAAGTTTCTATTTTGCTTGACAAAGATCTGTGTTCTTTCCAGCATATGGTCTGAATGACCTTTAATAACACAATGGACAGTGCATTTCAAACATAGAATGTGTGCAGTTCCACTTCTGAAGAAGGGTCCCTGGACCAAAATGTTAACTCTCTTTCTCTCCATGGATGCTGCCAGACCTGCTGAGCTTTTCCAGCAATTTCTGATTCTGTTTCTGATTTCCAGCATCCACAATTCTTTAGTTTCTTTCTTAAAGAATGTGTGCATGGCTGATTTTGGTACCTATTTTACACTTACAATGTGATTGCTGAAATAACTCCACAGAGGCTGATATCCTATCACCATGTCACCCTTTATTTACATGTGGAAAGTCCTTGACACTGATCCAGTACCCTTAAAGCCAGCTCTCAGAGTGAACAGGATGTCTGACACTCCTGTTCTTATCTGTCAGCCAGGGCTCCCTGATTGGACGAGATTAAAAGCCCTAATTAGGAACTCATATTCTGTGAGGTCTAACTCGAGGCTAACCTTGTGACAATCACTACAGAAGCATCCCCAATTAATTTCCAGATCAATATCTTTCTTTCCTACATCTGCAAGCAATAGATAGCAATGATAGGAATGTCCTCAATGCATTGCTAAGATGAACATTCTGGAACTGAAAGGCGTGACAAAGAGGGTAGAAAGTCAGCCAGATGTCATCGTACATGTTGTGACAAAAAGCAGAAAGAGCACATGTATTGCAGTCCTACAGTTTGAGGTTAGAAATTAGAATTTTCACTGTTGTAATCTCCGCCAGGAGAGTGCCAGTGGGAAGATAGAGATGATCAGTGCATGTTTTGAAGCATATTGCAGAAGGGAGGGTCTCAGATCTTGGTGGACTGGGACAAGTTGTGGGGAAAGAAGCAGTGATTTAAAGGAAAAGTATTTCACTTCAACAATACTAGGACCGATGCCCAAAGTTCATTAATGTGTTTGGAAAAGATAGAAACTCATTTGGCAGGAAGTTGGGCAGAAAAGGGGAATAGGCTGCATTTTGTGTATCTATGTTGGATAATACCAGAGAAAGAAGTCAATCTACATGAGATAGTAGAATGAGAAGAATTACAAGGAATACAATGTCAACTTCAGAATGCTTGATATCAGCACACAAACTCAAGTTAACAGGTAATGAGCTGCAAGAATATGATCTTAAGGTAATAATGGAAAAGTGGCTTAAAAAGGATGAGAGCTAAGGCTTAACATTTATGGATTTAAAATGCTCAGAAAAGGTAGGAAAGTGAAAAGGCAAGTGCTGTGACAAGACTTATGACATCGTGACGTTGGAAAGGGAGTAAATGCTTGAGGAAACAAAGACAGTGTCCATTTGGGTGTAAAAAAACAAAACTGCTGGAGAAATTCAGCGGGTCTGGCAACATCTGTAGAGAAGGAGAAACAGGGTTAACATTTTGAGTCCACTGATCCTTCTTTGGAACTCCAAAACTGTGTGGAGAGAATGCAGTGGACGTTGTCAATATGATTCTAAGAAAGCATTTGACTAACTACCACATAGAAAGCTGGTTAACAAAACTAAGATGCATAGAATCAGAGGGTGAACTTGGATAAATAAAAATTGGCCTAAGAACAGCAAAGATCATGTCATGATGAACGTTGCTTCTCAAATAGGAGCAAGTTTATTAATACAAATGATATATATAAATGACTTTAATATTAGAATAGAGTAAAATTTTGAAATTTGCAAATGGCCCCAAACTTAGAAGTGTGACAAACAATGAGGATAGCACTAGTCAAACTCTCTGGAGCTAGGCTGGATAGGTTGGCATGAACATATTGGGCTGAATCACCAGCTTCCGTGCTGTATGTCTGATGTAACCATTTATCCTGTGTAGCAGAATAGATAGACAAAAGATGGATGGAAATTAATGTAGAGAACTGTGTGATGATAAGTTTTGACAGAAAAGAAAAATATATTACATTAGCACAGTTTTAAATAGTATGCAGAGACAGAGACACTTAGGGGTACATGTGCATTGATCTTTGAATGTGGCAGGACACATTGAGAAATTATATGAGGCAAATGAAATTTTAGGTTTCATAAATAGCACTGTTGACTTGAAAATCAGAGAGGTGATGCTGAAGCTTTGTAAAGTTTTAGCATAAACTGAGTGCAGTGCTCATCTCTGGTCACCACACTTTAGGAAAGAAATCAAGGTCTTTGATAGGGTGCAGAAGAGAATTGCCAGGATGGTTCCAGGAATGAAGAGGTTTGGTAATAAGTTTAGGTTGCAGAAGCTGTGCTTGTTCTTCTTGCAGCAAAAGAGATTGAGACAATGTTTGAAACAAGGGCACTTAATGGTCACTGAAGGGTCACTTGCTGCCGACCACAATTTTCTAGCTGGGAAGAAAAGGTTAGCGATGGCTCAGAAGACCAGCAGGTAGGCCTGTTTAGGCCCTGGGTAGGAAAGGGGTTAGTAACTCCTCCCTGACTGGTAATGATATTTTTGGGGCATGTCCACATCAACTCCCAGCTGATAAATAAAGTCCAAAATCATTGTTTAATCAATGAATTATTTTAAATTCCTCATTCTTATTAGCCTATTAGTTGTCCTTTTTTCAGTATGTAATTTGAGTTTTCTACTATAAAACATAATTCAAAATATATCTTCTTCCCTCTGCCATTTCCTACTTCCCCCTTGTAACTGTTCTTGTCTCTGGTGGTAGAAAATCAATAGATTGAGTCAGTTAGCTCAGTTGGCTGGTTGGCTGGTTTGTGATACAGAGTGATGCCACAAGCATTGGTTAAGTTCCTGCACTGTCTGAGGTTACTGTGAAGGACTCTCCATCTCAACCTTTCCTGTTGCCTGAGGTGTGGTGACCCTCAGGATCAACCACCACCAGTTATCTCCCTCTCTCTCTAATGGGAGAGAAGCCCAATGGTCTGTGGGACTATGACATCTTTATTTGCAGATGCTTTTGCAATCTGCATTTACATTGCTTTGCTGTTCCATTTTCATATTCTATTTTCAGCTTCTTTCCTAATTTCTTGAAAGTTGAAAAATGGGACTGAATGAAGTCGGGCGGGAAAGAAATGGGCGTGATCATGTGGAAGCCCCATCCTGTATTCCAAAGCTGGACATTTTCATCAGCACAGGGAAGATGGCAAGTGAGAATCCAATGCTCTGCCCCAGAGGTGCTAGTGGCGCCATTGTGCTGAATGCGGAAACTAAAGTTCCAGGATTTGCAACAGGGTGGATGAGTTTTTGAAGGCCTCCTAAACTAAGGCTGTTTAGCTATGAATTACAAGGAATCCCATTCAAAAGGGTGGATAAACTTTAACAGCTTATAAGTAAGCACAGCTTTGTCTTGGCAACAATGTACCAAGGAAGTAACCATGCCACTGAAAATGGACCCAGCTCTTCCGAAACTATAGATCATTGAGGCACCATGCAGCAGCAGCGTGTGACAAGAGGAAGGGTCACTGATCCGGAAGCAATACTTTGATCGGTTGATGAATAATTGTTTGTTTGTGGCCAATTGTTCCCAGGGAGGCAATCAAACTCTCAGGCTCCGAAATAATTGAAGTTGTGACATCCAAGTAAGCTCAAAAATGAAGATTGTTAATGGTGAACAACCTAAATACTCACTGACACCTGATTCTTGCATTGCAGTGTTACTTGTAGCATTGCCATGTTCTTGATAGTTATTCCACCAATGCCATGTGATCTCATTTCCATAGACCATAACTTCTGTCTGTTCAGCCATGAAAACTGGCCTGATAGGTCGTGACCTTGGACTTGTATCAAACTTAAAATAACAGGATGTCCATTGACATAAACAAGCTCTGTGAATCTGAGTGGTGGGGATTAAAAATCTCTCCTATGAATGTCTTGGTTACCTTTTCTAAAGGATAGCGCTCTAACATTCTGAGTTGTTTGTGTCTGTAACTTCCTCCTTTGCTGCAGCTGTCTAATTGTGTCCTACTCCTGGACTTTGTGCATTGCTTCAAGATCAAAACCGAAAGAACTGCGGATGCTGTAAATCAGGAACAAAAACAGAAGTTGCTGGAAAAGCTCAGAAGTTCTGAGGAAGAGTCACCGGACCCAAAACGTTAACTCTGATTTTTTCTTCACAGATACTGCCAGACCTGCTGGGCTTTTCCAGCAACTTCTGTTCTTGTGCCTCAAAATCAAACACTACCTTAAGAACAGTCACCCCCATGATGTCCAAAATTGCGTTCTATGTGGTTCTACTCTGCCCTTGAATCTGCTGGGAAGCATGATGTATTTTCTATTTCTTCTGAAAATATTGATTAATCATATTACTGTTTTCAAATCTGCATCATTGCAATATTGGCAATTCAAATTGGATGACTGTAGATCTTGCCAGACTCTGCGCCGCACTCTCTTTAATTTGCAGTCCTTCATTAACTCGATATTGCTGTATTTTTTTCTTCAATAAAGCTCTGTAGAACTGGCTGTTCTCTCGCGATTTACTGCTTTCAAGATTTTTAAAATCTGGTTCTTTGTACTGCCTTTCCGTCCTTTTTCAGATTTACCTGCCTTTTTAATGACCAAAACGGTGGCTGCCCATTTCTTTGAGAATTTTCCTGCTTTCTGCTTTTCATGGCCAAAACCACAATGCACTTTCTTCTCTCCAAATTTTAACATAGTCATTTTATTTTAATCTCAATGTATTTTTCCACTGAAATTTTGTCTTCTGAGTTCCAAGTCTGCTAAACTTTGACTTTTTTCCCCTTGAAGTTGGTTCTTCTGTGAGATTCCATCTCTAGGCTTTTTTTAAATGTGCTGATTTCAAATTTAATAAATTCTGAGGTCTTCCTGATTCTGGACGAATGGTTTTTCTTTTCTGGCCCTTTCACTTTGTAATGATCTCAGCTACCTCTGGATAAGTCAGATCTCAGAGGAAATCGAGTCTGACTGATTTTTTTTTCTATTTTACTTAGTGTTGTGGTCATTCACTGAAACACGCAAGGCCGTAGATGTCCTTTGAACAAAAGAACAGAAGTGTATCAGACAAAAGCAAACAAACGAAAAACAAAGCTATCGACATCTAGAATACAGTATGAAAAATTTGAAAACATATAGAAAATAAAATCTTATCTCATTTTCCACGCTAAGCATTACAGAGGCTCAAACATGGAGAAATTGCCGCTCGATATCAAATCTTTAAGGTCTGAATGAACTGACTCTTTCTAGTTCTGTCCTGTGAACTGTGAAGTATTACATGAATGCACACAGAGCTGAGAACTTAGACTTGGTCATCTTTTAGTAATATGCATAATAATTTCTATTTTAATACAAATGCAAAGATTTTTAAGCACATTGCCCAAGTATAATCCCATTAATACAAAAATACTCTTTCATAAATTGAAAAGACAGAAAAAAATTTTTGTATGGTGCCCAAAGCATACTCCTGGTACAGTACCCACAAGTCCATTTATAAAATACTCATTCCAGAATCCCTTTATCTAACATCTTGATAGATTTAAGTCACTTGTGACTTCAATTTTTAGACTGGAACAGCAGATAGTTTCTTCCTGAAGCTATTCATGTACCTTAGCTTAAATGAACTCAGCTTTAAATTCCACATCAGGGTTTAATCTCAACACTTTCAGTCCGGGATTAATGCTAACTCTTCACTCTTAAGGTAAATCTTCACAGGAGCATTGACCTGTGTTGTCATTCTCATTTAAGGAGTGCTCAAAACTCAAAAGTAAAAATGAAACTGAAAGCTTCCTTCTCTGAGTCAAGCTGTGCGTGTTTCCGTTAAGCTTAAAAAAACGTTCCAGAAGCCTCTAACAAATCTTGAGGCATTTTTATTACTTTGTTGGCTTACAAACTAATCTAAGATAAACAAAAAAAACTGCACATGAATCCATTCACTCTGAAACAAAGCTTCAAAAACTGTTTTAAAATAATCACAATTGTTACAGAAATAGAATAAGAGCTAATTATTAACTTCAGATACACAGAAAAAAAACTACAGCTAACTCAAAAACCAAACACAAACACAATAAACGATATTAAATATATATAAAATCACATAGTTTACAATACACATGACATTGGTTCACTTTTGAAATTACTTTGTTTCAACCCAAAATGCATTTACAACGACAACCTAATGTCATAGGCCAGATTTTGCAACAGTATAGATTGCATGTACTCCCCGCTCTTGCTCCTGTCATTCCAACAGCAAATGTGATGTGTGAAGATAAGCAATTAAAAGCATAAATTGAGAATTTGCTGTTTGTGATTCTGTGCTTCCCTATGGAGTGCACTGTTGAATAATTACCAGATTACAATCAAGTCAAAATCACCGAAACTTCCCCTCTTACAATATTAGTTTTATTATAAAAAGTCATTTAAAAATTTAAAGCTTGTTGAATGAGACTCAACTGAATTTTCAATGGGATTCAAAGTTCATCATTACTGCTGAAAAGCATTACTATTTCTGAAAGACTAATTTTACATTCAGGAGATGTTACATTTTTCCAGTAGGACTTTTAGAAATATCACAGTTTTAAAGCAATACATATTTTTAAAGTATTAATGGAATATCAATTTCTACTGTAATTCCATATATATGTCCCAATCATGTATTTCATCCTCTCTGACAAGTACACCCTTCTGTACGAAGGGTGTTGTTAAACTTGACAGGATGCAGAAAAAATTTACAAGGGTGTTGCTGGGATTGGACAGTTTGAGTTCCAGGGAGAGGTTGAAAAGTCTGGGGCATTTTTTCTGGAACGTCAGACGCTGAGGGGTGGCCTTTTAGAGGTTTATAAAATCATGAGGGGCATAGGCAGGGTGAATAGCCAAGGTCTTTTTCCTAGGTGACCGGGGTGGGGGGGGAGTCCAAAACTGGAGGGCACAGTTTTAAGGTGAGAGGGGAAAGATTTAAAGGGGACCTGAGGGGTAACTTTCGCATGCAGACTGTGCTGCATGTATGGAACAAGCTGCCAGAGGAAGTGATGGACGCTGGTACAATTACAACATTTAAAAGGCATCTGGATGGGTACATGAATAGGAGGGGTTTAGAGTGACATGAGCCAAATACTGGCAAATGGGACTAGGTCAGATTGGGACCTCTAGTTAAAATGGATGAGTTGGACCAAAGGGTCTGTTTCTGTGCTGTAAGTGAAAAGTTCAAAGGATTTTACTTTACTGTTTCCTGTCTGTGAGAATATGTCACTGTACTTTTTGAACCTGTTCACAGTGTTGAATATCTGGAGAACCCTATGACTTGTTATCAGATGCAAAGTGAAGTCAGGAAAGTGGAAATCCCCACCACAGCACTGATTTCATAATTTAGGTCATTATATATGTGATGTAAATTATTGACATAATAACCAAACTCCACTATAAAACCATGTCAAATGTGTAAAAAAATGTTTCTGCTATAAATGTACAATCATAGAATTGGCACCCTGGGCATTTAACTTGTTCAATCTCCTTCAACATGTACAACTATCTATCCTCATTGCTACCAGGAAAACTAGTTTATAAAACATCAAATATTTTTCTCAATGTAATTTAACAGTGTTTGTAGAACAACATACATAGCCCAAATCCAGATTTGTTCCTTAATTTAGAAATAGACCAGATTTGGAATATTGAGCTGTTGCACGTTATTAGATCAGTGATAGAAAAGAAAGATTTGTACAGTGCTGCTCAGAATTTGCATTACTGTATATTTAGATATATGAACATGAAAATTGCATGATGTGCCCTTGGGCTGAACAACTGTGATTTGATGAAGGAGACTCTGTACTTGGAGTATTTCTTGATGTATATCTTGCAATGAACAACTATTATAAAGTGGACGTTGATCCCCCGCTCTGAGAGCTAAAACCGAAACACCCAAAGAGGAGCACCTCGCCGTCTAATTTGTAGAAGGAATTTGAAAAGTGGCATAACCTGCTTTTCAGCTACTTCTGGTGGTTAAATAAAATAAACCCCTGATACTCAGTTCAAAATCAACAAGTAACAATTTATTTATCTAACTCTAAGTGAACAAATAAACTAAACTTTCGATCAAAGAGAATAAATTCCTTCTAGCTCCTAAATTTTCCCGAATAAAACAAGATTCTAATAATATGCCGTTCCAATAAATATAAGTCCGATTTATATTAAAAAAATGTAGAATTTAGTCTCTTGAAATAATAACCAGGTTCCGTGTCTTCTGGACTGTTCTGTGCCTTCTCTATCAATTCTTCTGTCAGGAATGCCTTATCCGTTAATTCTTCTGTCAGAAATATTAACTAGTTATGCCATGGGTACCATTGTCATTTAGATGGTGCTTTCTCTAACGCGTAGAGGAGGCTGTGAGAGCCAGCGATTCTCTCGAGAGCTGAGGACTGTTAGCTCTGATGGATGGCAGTTAGCTCTGGGGTCTTAGTCCAACTGCTCCTTCTTTTATACCTTTGAAGACATATCAATATTTCATACAATAGGATCGGTCCTATGTTGGCAAAACCATCATACTTAAATTTAATAGGTTTTTGGTATCTAAGTGCCTGGTTCAAATTGATTGGCTAAATTCAAAAACTTGTTGTCTTGACAAAACTGCTGCTTGGCCTGCTACCTGTATGGCCTTTCAATACAAATATTTCAGTTCGGGTGCTCTCTGTGTACTTGCAAACTTTCAAGCTTCTGCTCACAGACATCCATTTTAAATCTCTAAGCATTGAAAAAGCACATGATCTTTTAAAGGGACCAGACAATGCTTTCTCCCAAAGCATTTTACAAACACCAAATTCTAACTTCCTGCCTCCCAATCCACAAGCACTTTACCCAACTTTGCAACAACAACTCATATCCTTTATTCTTCTCAGTCAGTGCTCATTTGCTAAAGTGGAACACTGAGATTGCTAGAAATCAGAAATAAAAACAGAAAATGTTTTAAAAACTTAGCAGCATTCATTGCATTTATTGCAAGTTAAACAGGATTAATGCCCTCACTTGTGATGTGCTTAGAGGCAAGAAGGGCATTTATATATGTGGTTGGTGGCAAAAACTAACAGTGCTGTGTTTCTGCGTCCATTGCAATTAAGTCAAAGCAGGAAGTCCCATGGTTGATCTTCCTGGCCACTGACTGAGGCCCTCAAATGGCAAATAAATACCTGCTTAAGGACTTCACCCCTCCTCTCTGTGTTAACCCAACTGCACGTGGACATCTTGCCTTATATTGTGCATGACAGGCACAATCGTCTGGCCAGCTTGTCATCTCACATGAGCTTATCTCCTTGTAGCAGGGATGGGGAATAGTGGGAACAGTGTTCCTTAATCAAAGGCAACCATTTCCTGATTGAGGGACTCAATCTTAGGAAATAGTAGGATCATTCAGAGCTGCGCCCCTACCTTAGATGCTAAAACCCATCTGCCTCTCTGTCCCAAAATCCTGTCAGACAAAACTCTCGCAGCTTTTCTTACCTATGGTCTGGTTACAAGCAACTACGGTGCTTGTAGTTCTGGTAGAAACCATGGCCTTCCCAGTGGTGCTATTGCGAAAAAGAGCTCACAGGCCTTGGATAAGACCAGCAGCTCTCCCTCGGTAGGATTGAAAAGGTTAGTCATTTATCCACTGGAGTTTATAAGACGAATAGGCAATTTGATTGGAAGATAGAAGATCCTGAGAGGTCGTAGCAGCTTTGATGTGGAGAGGATGTTGTGTCTTGTGTAGGAAAATCTGGAATGAGGTATCAATGAATATACAAAACTAAGTGAAATCCCATTTAAGATGGAAATGAGATTTCATTTTCTCACAGAAGGCTGTGAGTCTTTAGAACCATAAGACCATAAGACATAGGAGCAGAAATTAGGCCATTCAGCCCATCAACTCTGCTCTGCCATTCAATCATGGCTGATAAGCTCCTCAACCCTATTCTCCCGCTTTCTCCCCGTAATCCTTGATCCCCAAGGTACCTTTCTCCCTTCTCTCATGGCAGGGTAAGTACAGTCCTTGAATATTTATAAGGCAGAAGTAGATTCTTGATTAGTAAGGGTTTTCAGGGGAGGTAGGAATGTGGATTTGAGGACATAATCCGATAAGTCACAATCTTGTTGAATGCCAGAACAAGCTCAAGGAACTTAATTCGGATAGTTGTAAGTCTTAAGGGAGTGGAACTGAAACTGAGCTCGAACCTGTCAATGCCAGGCTCCTTGAGTACCTAAATAGTATCTGAAGTTTGCATGTACATTTTCACTGGGAAATTCACCGGTTAATAACTTCGTAAAGATATTGATGTTTTGAAAACAGTCCACATTACAGAAGAGGTGGTGTTGGAGGTCTTAAAAAATGTAATCGTGGATAAATCTCCTGGACCTGATCAAATTTATCCCACAATGTTGTGGGAGCTAAGGAAGAAATTGCAGGACACTTTGCCAAGATATTTATGTCATCCACAGCCATATGGTGCAGGGATATAGTTCTTTGAAAGTTGCGTCACAGATAGACAGGGTGGTAAAGAATGTATTTGGCACGTTTGCCTCATTGCTCAGACCATTGAGAATAGGAGTTGGGACGTCATATTGCGGTTGTACAGAAAGTTGGTGAGACCACTTTTGGAGTACTGTGTACAGTTTTGGTCACCCCCCTGTAGGAAGGATATTATTAAATTGGAGAGTGTACTAAAGAGATTTCCCAGGACGTTGCTGGGACTGGAAGGTTTGAGTTATAAGGATAGGCTGGATAGGCTAGGATGTTTTAAGTTG